CAAAATCCAGAAGTAAAGGAGCATAACTGATTCTTTCACTTTTTTTATGAATGAGTCAGCCTAACATTAATTCGGAAGAACAGGCCGGAAAACGATTTACAAGTAAATTTGTGAACAACAGGAACAGCATTTCTTTCCGTTATGATCATCTTAAAATGGGAAGAAATGCGGTTTCCCCACTTCAGACGTAAACCCCACTTTCATTTATTTTTCTTATTTTATGGTATCTGGTACTAAGTACATTTCCAAGCTAAGCAGACTATGATTATTGTAATTGATTATTCAAATAAACCTGCAAATCATAAAGCCTCCAGTTGGGGTTCCTGGTACCAGTCTACGCTTTCGAGCTAAAATCGAATTGTGGGAAGAGCGAAAATTGTTACAGTTTATTAACTTCGGTGCGCTAGCTGGTGTTCTTTATTACAGTTTTACCTCTAAGAAAAATTTTTTGGTCCCACGTCTGGGACATTCCGTTCACTGCCCTCCAAAGCCTGTGACTGTGCAGGATGAGGCCAGATAGTTTGACTTATTAGGTGACAAAGTGAAGTAGATTGATGAGTGTCGTTCACGTTTGTTTGTAGCCCCTAGGCTGTTGTCCATGGAGGTCTTGGTGCAGAGCTGTGTATTTTGATTGTCGAAATGATTAGCGGCTAATTTTCCTCTTTTCACGAAATTTACCCGTTCAGAAAAACCACGTCTATTAGACCTTTTTAGGATGATTGGTAAATATGACATTATTACTGATGAACATGAAGATGAAGGTCCTGATAATCACAGGATAATTAAAGATCTGCGATTTATCGTTGTCGAAAATGCTAGCTCATATATATCGTGTTGGTTCCTGTCCTGTTTCAGCCGTTTGATCCATTTTTTGTTCGCAGTTTTATTCGGGCCCTATGAATTAGCCTCATAGAGTAGCTACAAAAAAAGATTCAGATAAGATCTTGATTGAGGGTAAGTCACTTTAATGCCGAATGTGAGAGTGTTCATAGCCATACATTTATGTGTAATTATTAAATACATTGTTTTGATACTTGCTAATTTTCAGTCTTTTCTGTTTGATATTTGATGTCTTTTATTGTATATTTTACTTCAGGGAAGTCATATGTAACTTTAACTTTGATTTATTCGCCTGTGGATTCGTTTACGGCTCGTCATACCCTTCAGAAATGCTACGTTTGTTGTGTGCGAAAGAAATTCTTCGATTTGCTTCAAGGAGGTTCATCAGTGAATCTGCAGACGATCTTTGTCGTATTCATATTGGGCGTGTGCCGTGGTTCACTGGCCGACGTAAGTTCAAGTTTTGAGCTGTTTATGCCGCCTGCTACTGCTTTACTAGACAGACAGTCTGTTCTCTGTATTTTAGAAGAACTGTCTGCGTACTTTGCCAGATTTGGCCGGCTGGCTAATGTTCGTCTGCCATTTGTAAGTGTTCTGAAAATCGGTGATGGGTTTTTGATTTGTTAATCATGTAACAGGGAAGTTTATAGAACTCTAGTACCGGATTCCACAAAGGATACGCATTTATTACTTTCCGACGACCTGAAGACGCGAGAGCCGTGATCAGAGTCGCGCATGAGATTGATGGAGTTGCGGTAAGCTTATTAGACTGTTTCTTGTGCAACGTACATGCCTGTCCCTGAATGTTTAGTTTGAATAGCTGAATAGCTGAATGTTTAATTTGTTACTTTTTAACTAGCTTTTAATTCCCATAAGAAGCTTTAAGTTACAAGCGTAAAATTTCATGGAATGTCACCTTCACTGCAGAAGATGAACCTCACCATTTATTATAGATTAGAGGTCAAAGTATCCTTCTCTTTCTGTCTCGAGAGAAAAGTGATGTCTGTTGGACAGGATTGCAATTTTCAGTTTAGTTTAGCAGCTAGAGAGAACTGTCAACTCCAAACATGATATCAGAGCGAGCCGAACCTTAATGCAAGGAGATCTTCGTGTTAGAGTTGTGGAAACGAGTTTCCTATTGTTCTGAAGCGCGATGTTTTTAGACTTTTGGGCATCATTCCGTATAAGTCATGCTTAACCAGTGTTGCCTGTATTTCGTCACTATCAAATTCCATAAACGGCAACAAACTTCACAGCAGGACTGCAATAAGGGATTAGATGCACCATCGGACTCGTTCAACATAAGAAGTGCAGTTCTTCAAGGCGAGGAGCTTTATTCGCTGTTACATAATGCTGTTATGGACTGTGTATTGGTAAGGAGCTTCTTTCAGCGAGAATTTGAACAGATAATCGGTAGCACAACTTAGTCTACTCCTCAGAGTTATTTTTGATTACTCCAGGATGCGGGCGACCGTACTCGCCGAAAGCGAGTGCAACACGATTGTCGAACTCGGCCAATAGATCTAGGCTAATTAGACTAAAAAATTGTGGCTAAAAACCATTAATTACATTTCAGATATATAAGGTCAATAGTGGTTGATGAAGGCGCAGTTGATTCTGTGTTGAATAACCACCAGCAAATTTCATTTAGCTGTTTGAAATATAGGAAAATCGGACTGTATGAGTGGTATCAAAGTCGCCACGTTGAAAGTGGCTGTTTTCTCCATGCTCTTGTATATTCTGGAAACATCTGCTATCTGTCATGAAGTTTGTCTTTGTCTAAGTACTTTCAACAACACCGAATGTGCTGTCTGCTTAAACTGAATGATGCAGTGGGTTTGCGGTTACAGATTAGAAACTGTAAAAAGTATTCAAAGATGGGCACGTAGAGTAGTTTCCTAAAACGACTAAAAGTGGCGAAAATATTTTTAAAATTTTTCTTAAGGAAATTATCCAACTTGGTAAAAAACGCGAAAGCACTTTATAGAGGCAGTTTTTCTCTCGGTAGGAAAGGAAGAAAGGACAGTTCCTAACAGATTGTTTGTCTCCCTTAGTCCTATATGATGGGTAGGGTCTAACGCTTTTCTTTTCATCAAATAAAATTAATAGTAGGACTCTGACTACCATTTCTATACCATCAGCCAGGAGCGCTTTATTTTTTAGAGGTAGAGTCGACAGTATTGTGAAGGTGAATATTACATTCCTACTTGTATAGTCAACCCCCTGAACTGCATATGACTTTATTATTGTTTTACTTCCATTAATGTAATGAGCTTTTTAGAAATTACCGTAGAGGATATGTTAGCATTTTCTGTCTAACTTTGCTGCATGTATGATCGTTGATTTGTGAGTTATGATTTTATTTTCAGCTGGTGGCGAGCCCTGCGTTGAGCAACGTCGCAATGGATTTATTCAAAGACGAAGAACATGAACATGACGACGAGCATTCAAACAG